CAGAAAGAAACCCCGTTCAGTGTGGGGTAACTCACTCTGGAGCCTTTTAGCAGGCCATTTGTGACTAATAGCAGTTTTTATTTTCATGGGGTGATTACAATTCAGCTGCTTTCTGCCCAGCCCTAGGGATGATGCCATGGGTTTTCATCATGTCTCAGACTGATGCCTCCTCAAACGAGCATTAATTCTCCTTCCTACCTAGGGCCAGGCTTTACCTCCACCTGAGCTGAAAATCAGAAGGCAGCAGGACCTCACCTGGATAAAAACTTGAGTTCAGGCCAGCTCTGGCCAGCTTTAGACCAGCAGCTCAGGCTGAGCTTCTCCAGGCCACATCACAACAGGGGCAGTGTCACCCACACCCAACCTAGTCATGATCTCCTCTTTAGGCTCTGTACAGCTCTCCTTGGTGCCTTTGTGCCTCTCCATGTCCTTCCTGAAGGTACCAAGCCTGGCCCAAGAGCACAGACAGGCTGAGGGTGGCTGAGCCCCAGCTCCTCCACACACACCAAGAGTTCCAGGCTCAGAGGGACTCAGATTTTCAACATCTCCAGCTGGAAGTGGAGACCACAGAGCTTAGCAGACAGGCAGGCCCCTCACCTAATCACGAGGGCTTTACCTGTGTTATTGAACCCAGGTGGAATTTAAGCAGCATCTCAGAGGCCACTTGAAGGCAGGCAGCTCAGTCTGAGAGTTAAACTATCAGTGATCAGGCAGGGAAAGAACCTGAAGCCATCTGAAAAATGCAAAGGGTGCCTTGACTTCTGACCTTTCTGCTTCCCAAAGAGATGAACAGTCCAGGACAGAGGGCAATGCAAGGCAACAAATCCCTCTGCTACCACCAGAAGGGAAGGGACAAAAGACAGAACCCTGCCAGGGTCAGGGCTCCCTGCCTTCCCCTGTGACAGCCCTGGGGTGACAGGAGCAGGGCTGGCTGTCACCATGTCAGAGGGCACACAAAGAGAGGAGCAAATCCAAATATTCAGTGAGGTCTCTGTTTCTATTAAATTTTCCATCTCTTTCCAAGCTATTTGCCCCTAGCAGAGCCCACAGCCTGCCTGTACTGTCCCCACAGCTCTGTAGTGGGGACATTTCTTCACCTGTAAGAGCTCAGAGACACAAACTGCACGTGAGGAAGGGGAGGACAGCCCAGTCCTGCTTCAGCCAGCCTCCAACCTGTGCTAACAGTGAATTCCTCTTGCAGGCACCAGGACAGCTCTGAGAGCCCAAACAACCCCCCTGAGCTGGGACAGGGTGCTGGCACCTCCCAGCTCATGGTGCTGTTTGGGATCACCATCAATGTCAGACAGTGCCACATGCTCACACAAGGAGGTGGCTGGTTACACACGAGCCTGCAGTGCTGAAAATTTCCCCTCACATGGGCTGGGGTGTCACTGTCACCCTCAGAAATGAAGGGATGGGGCTATTTTCAAGCTAAGGATGATTTATTGCTCAGATAAACATCAGTCTCAGAGGCTGTGGGATTTTAGAGGAGCAAGAAGTAGCCATAGCTCAAAGTAGTCACAAGTTCTTTCTTACAAGGCAGTACAGTGGACAGTTGCCACAGGATTTATTTTGCTTTTCTAACCTATCACCTTTACTTCTCCTGCACTTTAGATGCTTTTGTCCAATGCCTTCTGTCTCACTTGCACACAAATGCTTAACTGTTATAGCTTCTATAACTGCTATAACTTAATCTGTTATAACTTCTAAACTCTTGGCTTATTCCATACAACCACATCCCCACATTATAAACCCTTCACCCTCTTACCAATAGTTTCTCACTTACTTAAGCATATTCTTTCTTAAAACTACAAAACATAAATTTATGATTTTTCTGCTTGATGTCTGTATATTGTATTTTCACATCAATCCAAGCTTCTCCCAAGGCTGCAGATCAAACCCTTCAGTGAAGTTTCTGTTTTTCCAATTCCTACAATGGGGTATTTATATTTTTAAGGAGAAATGATGACCAGCAAAGAGCAAACAGAACCCTGCAGTGAGGAGATGCCAGCCCCCAAGGGAGACAAAATGTCCTTACTGGAGAGATCCCACTGCACACCAGCCCTAATTAAACTGTCAGCAGAGATGCCCTTCCCCTGCCCTGCACTCCTGGAACACCATCAATGATCTCTGGAGGCAGATAGGAAGGGCCACAAATCCTGCTGACACGTTCTGGCACAGCTCTGTGCACTCAGCAGCACACACAGCCTGAGCCCAGACCCCACACACCAACCAGAGGAGCTCCCAGCACCCAAAAACAACAGCCTGGCTGTGTGCCCCTGCCCCAGCACCCCTGATGGTCACTGACAATTCCCTCACACCCCTGCAAACCCCCAGCCTGGAGCTGCTCAGGATGAGGGTTGATTTACACAGAGCCCAGGCACGTTCCCTGGTGTGGGAAATAGAAATAAAATCTTTTAAAACCCCTCTCAGTTACCCTGTGGCTGTAAAGCTAGGAACAATCCAACACCCCAGGACAGAGATCAGCACACAGCCCCTGGCTTGGGGCACCTGCAGGGCCAGGCATGTTGTGTTTGTGGGGTCCCTCGTGGCAGGGAGGAATGATGAATCTGAATCTCCATGTTCTCAGAAGGCTAATTTATTACTTTATGATGCTACATTATATTCAAGAATACTATACTATACTAAAGAATACAGAAAGGATATTTACAGAATGCTAAAAAGATAATAATGAAAACTCCTGACTCTTTCCAGAGTCCTGACTGGCCAAAGAGTGAAAACAACTCACACCACAATGCAATGAAACAATCACCTGTGGGTGAACAATCTCCAAACACATTCTAATGGAGCAAAACACAGGAGAAGCAAATCAGATAATTATTGTTTTCCTTTTTCTCTGAGGCTTCTCAGCTTCCCAGGAGAAAAATCCTATGTGAAGGCATTTTTCCAGAAAATGTGAATGCCACACAGGCAGAGCTGTCCCATCTGCCCGTGGGATGCTCCTCCAGCTGCTGCCTGTTGGGGTCTGGAAACAGAGAGCACAATTCCCACCTGAGCCCTCACCTGGAGGCTGCTCTGCTGCTGCTCTCAGGGGCTCAGAAGATGATTGACAGAGCAATGTAATTTTATTTTCTGCCCCCTGCCTGTGTTGAGGGCCGGCAGAGATCAGCTCCCTGTCGTGCCTGTTGCACTTGAGGCACATAAAAATCTGTTTTTCTGTCCCAGGAATAAGGTTACAGCACGTCCTGGGTGTGAACCCAGTGGTACCCAGTTGGGTTGGAAGGGCTGGATGGGGACAGAGCTCACCATCTCCAGGTCACAATCCACCTCAACCTCCCCAGCAGCTCAGCAGCAATTCCTGCAGGAGTTTTTGGGCTGCTGTCACTCTTTTGTCCCTCTCTGCTCCCCTCCAGCCCAGCCCTGCAGTGAGCAGCCCCTGAGGGCCACTCCCAGCCCTGGTGATGAGAAGGATGAGTTCAGAGCGTGCCTGAGCAGCTCTATTTCCTTTTCTCTGCTTCCTTCCTGCATGGAATTACTCATTTCCTTGGCAGGAAAACTCATTACAGAAGGTGCTTTTCTGAGTTCAGCTGAGGTTATTATCTGCTCACTGACAGGGGCTAAGAGGCACCCGTGGAGCTTCCTCTCCCCAGTGGGTTGTTCTCCTTGCCACAGCTTGGAATAGGAAGAATAAAGACTGGTTGTTTGACACACCTTTTTATCCTTTTTTTTTTTAAAAAAAAAGCTTTGCTACAAGCATCAAAGCCCGAGGAAGGCACAGACAGCCTCTCCACAGAACAAAAGACAAGCAGCTGTGGGAGACACCTTCCTGTCTTGGAGGTCAATCCCAACCCTGGGAGCTGCCTCTGATTGCCCTGATGGCAGCTCAGACCCCAAAATGCTCTGCTGTCTGCTATATCAGACCCCAAAATGCTCTGCTATCTCCCTATCACCCAAATCCAAAGCTGCTTCCCTGTGGGGAAGGTGGAGATCACCTCCAAGGTGTAAATAAGAGGAGAATCAGGCACGGGGGCAGGAATTGATGCCACAGCACAAGGGGAGGGCAGGGCCCTGCACAAGGTAACATTTGGTTCTGCACATTAAGTCTGGTTCCATTCAAGAGGTTTTCCCTTGCTCTCAACACCTCAGAAGTAGTTCCCAGTTAAATGTTTCCCCAGCTGGACGTGGCTGCAGGGTTTGGGGAGTGACACAGCAGCTGCCTCCTGTGTCAGACAGAGAATCTGGAGGGAAATGGGGAATGTGGGGCCCACGGGGATAAAGCTGCCTCTGTCTTCCTCAACAGCAGCATAAAATCATCTTACAGGCTGGTGTTTGCACATCCCCATCATGTGCAAACCTGGATACCTCTCACAGCTTCCCCCACAGCTGGCAAAGGGTGGAGCAGAGATCCCAAACCTCTCACAGGGGCAGCTCCAACTCGGCCCCAAAATAACAAACCCAGCTCCTGACAAACCTCCTCAAAGCAGCTTCCAGAGCTTTATCCAGTGGAATCACTAGAAACATCAGTCTGGCCTGGATTTTAAACAGCATTTGGCAAGTGGATGAATGGCTGGGACACTGAATGTAGAAATTCTCAGAAATGGAAAACACTGCACAATGCTTCCCAGGAAGACAGAGCAGCATCCTTCTGATGCAAGGAAATAATAATAATAATAGTAATAACAATAGTAATAATAATAGTAATAATAGTAGTAATAATAACAGGAAGAAGGAGAAGGAGAAGGAGGAGGAGAAGGAGAAGGAGGAGGAGGAGGAGGAGAAGGAGGAGGAAGAGAAGAAGAGGAAGGAGAGGAAGGAGAAGAAGAAGGAGGAAGAGAAGAAAGAGAAGATTATTATTATTATTATTATTATTATTATTATTATTATTATTATTATTCCAGGAAACAAACCCAATAAAAACCCATAACAGTTATTTTTAAGCACATTTTACAGACATTTAAAGACATTTTTACCGCATTTCCTGCAGGCACAGGACTTGAAACGAGCCCAAACCAAGGTGAGCAGAGCAGAGTGACACTTACTGTGCAGGCAGCCTGCATCCCCTGCAAGCTGGGACCATCCTGGGCAGCACCTGTAGGTGGTCTGGGACCTCAGCTGGTACACCTGCCTGTAGCCTGTGTAATACACAACCCTGAAACACAAAAACCCAGCCAAAGTCAGCTCCTGCAGGGCAGGGAAACGGGGAAGAACAGGATTTGTAGCCATGGGTGCAAATAAAATGAGGTTTGCAAAAGTGCTGCCATTGCTTTCCACACGGCCTGGCAGTGATCACTGCTGCTAAGAAAATACTAATTTGTTCTAATTAGGAACACAAGAGGCAACACCCAGGTCCTCATAACACCCCAGATTATTTTTTTCTCCTTTTCTAGACTATTTACAGCTCTGAGCTCCTCCCTTACACTACCTGCTCACCAAGGAAATGTAAATTTTAAGAACAGGTATTTCTGCCTCAGTGAGCAGGAGCAGGTGTCTCTAAGGGGCTGGTGAAATAAAAAATCAGCATAATCCTGATGGCAACACCAAGAGTTGTGCTGGACACAGCAAGGCTCCACAGCTTGGCAGGGAACACTGAGGGTCCCTTTCACTGCTCCCAGGAGTGGGAGCTGGGGGACTAAAGCAGGGACTGATCTGAAGCGTAAATAAATAAAAGCGACACATTTTTTGCCCCGGAAATTTGGTGTTGTGTGTTTGTGAGAATTGAAACACAGATAATACTTCTGAAGCTGATTTTTAAAAAGCTCCCTTGGCAGAACATGAAACTGCTCCACCAAAGCGAATCAGGCAAACAACAACAAATATTTGGCACCAGCAGATGTGTTGTGCATGTCCACTGAAAATATTTACCCTAACTCAGTCGACTTGTTTGATTTTGTCTGGATGTTCCTACAAAAAAAGCCCAAATAAAAGTGAACCTTTAATCCCTGGGAAGGAAACCTTCAGCAACTCCTGCGTGCCAACCAGCACGTGGAAGCACAGCTGAGAAAAATAAAAGCAGATACCAATATTTTGGTTTTGGTTTTCTATGAGCTGTTAACAAATTATGAAGGAAATTGTTGTGTTCCAGAAGCAGCTGAGAAAGCAATTCCCAGGCAGCAGGCTCCAGCCCACCAGGATCCTGGTGGTACCAGGAGCTCTCTCCAGCCCAGCAGGAAGGAGAAGGGGAGATGGTGGATGCAGGGTGGTGTGAACACGACAAAGAGACTCAGGGATGGGGAGGAAAAATTCGAAATAGTGATGCAGGGCAGCTCAGGGCTCCCTGTGCCCCAGCAGTGCCCTGAGCAGCCTCATGCCACCCTCCTGGGTGGCTCTGTTGGACACTCCAGACCCTCCAGGCAGCTCTCAAGGAGAGGAAAATATTGTGACAGCCTCGGTGCCTCAGGGTATCTGGGTGCTGCAGACGGGAAAGAGCCACAGAGGAGATACTTTATCTTCAGTGTTTCTCTTTTGTGTTTTAAGGAGTCCCTGGCACAGAAAATGGGGAATGAGCCAGAACTAATGGAACACAGGGAATCCTGCCGTGTCCTGCTGCTGGAAAATCCCCATCCAGCCCCTCTAGGATAGCTGGGATTCCTTCAAGCTTGGTTATGGAGGGCTGAGCAAAGCTACCCGCTGTCCTCACTCACTGCACAAGGGGATGCACAAACATCCCTTCACCGGGAACACACCCGAGGATGCTCCAGCTGAGCAGATGCTGCTTTTCCCAGTCACCTCCAGGAACTCCAAGGCCATTTTCAGGCCAGATCCTGGAGCTGTGAACACACTTCCTGAGCTGCCAGAGCCGGGTCCAACTGGAGCAGCTCCAGCGTCCCGGCGAGTGCCGACACCGCGCTCCGCTGCCCGCACGAGGGAACTTGGCAGGGCACTCCCAGCTCCTGGAAAAGCCTGCTGCAGTGGCAACTCCCAGAAGTTTAGAGAGAGGAAATCTGGGACAAAACCTTGCCCAGGGAATGTTCTGCTGATAGTCCTTTCCCTGTCTGGATTTTACAGCTCCTGGGGTGAGATCCCTCCGTGGCTTCACCTCTGTGCTTCCATCAGGATCAGTTTTAGCACTGGGCTGTTCTGATATTTGTAATGAAGCAGAACTGATAGTTATATCATTTCAGTCCCTTGATTTGTGATGTCAAACCCATCCCTTAAGGAGCTGAAGGGACTGCTGGGGCTGAAGAGCTCCAGCCTTTGAAGTGGAAGCAGACAGGACACCCATCCTTCCAAAGCCTCCCCTGAAAACACAGCCAAGAGTCAGACTCTGTTTGCTCCTTTGTTACCAGGACACAGATCTCATCACCAGGGTAATTACCAGCAATTACAGGTTAGGAGGAATTCCTAAAGTCAGGACTTAAAAGCTGTCTTGAGTCCAAGATGTTTCTTTGAAACAACAGCTATCATTTTTATTCTGCAAAGGCTTGTAACTCCCTAATGAGGCCGGAAGAGCAGGTGGAGGGTGGAAGCAGCTTGGGCACGTTGTACTTTGGCTGCTGCATAGGTAAGAAAAGTTCCTTTTTGTTGTATTTGCAGGGTGCCCCTGGCAGGAAGGAATTATGAATCTGATTCCATGTTCTCAGAAGGCTAATTTGTTACTTTATAATACTATATTATATTAAAGAATACTATACTATACTAAAGAATACAGAAAGGATACTTACTAAAGGCTAAAAAGATAATAATGAAAACTCCTGACTCTTTCCAGAGTCCTGACACAGACTGGCCCTGATTGGCCAAAGAGTGAAAACAACTCACAGCAGAATGCAATGAAACAATCACTGAAACAATCCAAACACATTCCACATGAGCAAAACACAGGAGAAGCAAATGAAATAATTGTTTTCCTTTTCTCTGAGGCTTCTCAGCTTCCCAGAAGAAAAATCCTGGGTGAAAGGATTTTTTCAGAGGATGTGAATGCCACAGCTTTTTTGTGCTGTAACAGTGTTCAGGGCCCCTCTCTGCAGGACCTGCCTGGGCTCCCATCCCTGGCCAGCTGGGAACCCAAGGGATGCTGTGATTAGGTGGACAAGCACTCAGGGTCTGTTCCAGCCCTGTGCTCACCTGTGCAAGCCCAGCTCAAGCTCTTTTGACGTGGGCCTGAGCATGGTCCAGCTCAGGGAGTGAAAGAAACAAGGTGACCTGTCCTGGATTGCCAAGCAAATTTTATTCTATTTGCCATCTGTATGGCAGTTGTCTTCTATTCAGTGGGCAGGTTTCCTTATCTCTTCCACACCCACTCCCTCCAGGAGACATCTGCTGATAACAGGCCATGGAGTGTCCCTGCATGGCTGATAAGAACTGCAGCATCCACTGGGAGATGTGAGCCCAGAGGGAGGAGCCCAGCATTCCTACCTGGATAGAATCTGAGATTCTGGAACACCAGCATGGCTTTCTCCACTGGATTTCTCAAAGGAACAACTGCTTCTTCCACTGGATCTTCAGAGGAAGGCTGCACCCTTCCACAGGATCCCTGCTCCAACAGAACCACACCTGACACTGCAGGAGGGCTGCAGCCACAATTCCAATTGGACTGCTACCAACACCCTGACCCACAGGGTGTCAGGCTGTGTTCTGACTCTGTCAGTGTTGTTTTAGTTTACTGCATTGTTTATTTATATTTTTATTTTCTTCCCTAATAAAGAACTGTTATTCCTGCTCCCATATTTTTTTACCTGAGAGCCCCTTAATTTAAAATTTATAGCAATTGGGGGGGGGGGGGGGGGGGGCGGTTTTTCTGTTTTTGGGGGAAAACCTCCTGTCCTGCTGATGTTACATAATTGATGAACAAATGATCGCACGTTGTGTCCCTGATTCAGGTCAGGAGGTGGCAGGAGGAGGAAGTCCTGTCAAATGTTTGAAAGAAAAAGGAGGTAGAGGAGCAGCGGCTACATTTTTCCATTTTAGAGGAGGCTCCTGCCTTCCTTAGACACCTGTCCTTCCAAACCAAGCCATGACCCTGCAGCAAATCCTGCTGACCCCAGCAGTCCCTACCCCACACCCATCCCCTGCACCAGGGCCACAATTACTGTCATTTTAGCCAACAACCCTCACTTCCTTAGTGCCTGTGGAACTTCCCACCCTCCCGTTTCTCACGAGGAGCAGCCCAAGGCGGAGGGAGGAGCACGCAGAGCACCCACCTGGGCTCGTAGCCCGCGCACCAGCGGCGGCCCCCGCAGTCCTGCTTCCACACCCGCGCGGCGCGGCTCAGCGCCCGCACGCACGGCTGCCGCAGCGCCACCACGCCCAGCTCCTGCTCCGCGCACACGTTCGGCCTGCAACACAGAAATGCAGGGCTGTCAGGGATGCAGGGGGTCCAGAGGGATGTAGGGGAGCCAGAGGGAGGGAGGGAATCCCAGCTGCATGGCTGCCGCAGCGCCACCACGCCCAGCTCCTGCTCCGCGCACACGTTCGGCCTGCAACACAGAAATGCAGGGCTGTCAGGGATGCAGGGGGTCCAGAGGGATGTAGGGGAGCCAGAGGGATGGAGGGAATCACAGCTGCATGGCTGCCGCAGCGCCACCACGCCCAGCTCCTGCTCCGCGCACACGTTCGGCCTGCAACACAGAAATGCAAGGGTGTCAGGGATGCAGGGGGTCCAGAGGGAGGCAGGGGGTCAGAGCTGTGAGGGGTTGCCACGGGCCCGTGGTCCCCAGCTCCTGCTCTGTACACAGTTTGGCCTGCAACACAGAAACGCAGGGATGTCAGGGATGTCAGGGATGCAGGGGACTATTAGGGATGAAGGGAATCACAGCTGCATGGATGCCACAGCCCCACGACCCCCAGTTTCTGCTCTGCACACACATTCGGCCTGCAACAGAGAAGTGCAGGGCTGTCAGGGATGCAGGAGATCCAGAGGGGTCCAGGGGGTCCAGGGGGTCACAGCTGTGAGGGGCTGCTGCAGCCCCACGACCCCCAGCTCCTGCTCTGCACACACACAACAGAGAAATGCAGGGCTGTCAGGGATGCAGGGGGTCCAGAGGGATGCAGGGGAGCCAGAGCGATGCAGGGGGTCAAATTGCAAGGCTGCCACAGCCCCACGACCCCCAGTTTCTTCTCTGGAAACACACATTCGGCCTGGAATAGAGAAATGCAGGGGTGTCAGGGATGCAGGAGATCCAGAGGGATGCAGGGGGTCAGAGCCGTGGGGGGTTGCCACAGGCCCATGGTCCCCAGCTCCTGTTCTCCACACACATTTGGCCTGGAACAGAGAAATTCAGTGGTACCAGGGATGCAGGGGATCCAGGGGGTGTCTCAGGTTTAGCTGGGTGTGTATTCTATTATGTGTTAGAGGTGGGGCAGTTATCTTCTGTTCATTGGGCAGTTTTTCTTTATCTCTTCCACAACCAATCCTCCCTCAAAATAAGGGTTTACACCTTGTTTTTATTTATTATATATCATAGATATAATGATTATATACTATTTTATAAATAATATAGTAAATAATATCCACTTTTTATCCCGCTTTCCCACTGGATTGTGCCAGGAAAACCCTCAGCTCCCTCTCTCCAAAAGGTCCCATCCCTTCCCTGAGATTCAGACCCATTTACCCCGGGGGATTCTCTTACTCCTTTTATCTTTTGCTTTGTCTCTTTACTGGCCATTTCTAATATATGTCACATTATAAATAGATATGTATATTTTGCCTCATCTATTAAGATATCCTGGGAGATCTCTGCTGTTCATGGCCAGTGAGCGTCCCTGCATGGCTGATCAAATTCCATCATCCCATTGGGAGAAGCTCCGCCCAGGGGAGGAGCCAAGCATTCCTACCTGGATACAATCTGAGCCTGGAACAGCACAGCAGCCTTTGCCCACTGCATTCCCAGAGGAGCAGCTTTCTTCTCCCCTGCATTCCCAGAGGAACACCAGGCCCATCTCCAGCAGCCCTGGAGCTTCAGAGGAAAACTCCAGCCTTGTGCAGGATCCCTGCTCCAGCAGAAGCACAGCTGGCACTGCAGGAGGGCTGAGCCCCCCTGGGATGGGACTGTGCCACCACCCTGACCCACAGGGGCCAGCTCCTGTTGTGGCTCTGTCAGTGGTTTTTCTTTTTGTACTACTGCATTTGTATTTTTTTAAATTTTCCTAGTAAAGAACTGTTTATCCTATTCCCATATCTTTGCCTGAGAGCCCCTTAATTTCAAAATTATAATAATTCGGAGGGAGGGGGTTTACATTTTCCATTTCAAGGGAGGCTCCTGCCTTCCTTAGCGTACACCTGTCTGTTCAAACCAAGACAGGGTCACAGCTGCGACGGGTGCAGAGCTCCCACTGCCTGGATTTCCTGCTGGCAGGGCAGGAAGGGCTTGGGCAACCTCCTGCACCCACCCCCTCCATGAGTTAATCACTGCAGGGAAAAGAAAATTGCCAGGCCCACCAGCCACAGGGGTGGTTTCAGGCTCATTCAGAGTTAAGGGCTGTGAGGCTACTTCCAATAAATCACAGAAATGTACTTTGTTTCTTCTCTAATCCTAACTCTTTCTCCAAGCACAAGTCAGTGGGTTTAACTAAGGATGAAGAGTGAGACATTTGTCCCTGACTCCACGAGCCACTTGGCATTTGGGGCTGCTTCTGCTGCTTCCAACAGCAGCCAGAGTTTCTTAGAAATACTTTCTATTAAAAAAAAAATAAATTAAAATAAGTCATTTGGACGTGGTGAAGCTTAGAGGTCACAGCTGGCATCCAACTTCTCCAGGCTGCTCAATTCCAACCCCGGCGTGCTGGCACAGGGCTCTGCTCCAGTGCCCCGTCCAAGAAGTCCTGAAAGTAACTGTCAGGGCAGGAGCACAAAACCCTGACGTGGGGAGAAAAAGCTGCTCCTTCCAAAACCTTTATCTTCTAAAGGACAGGCTTTTTTGTAAAGAATTAAACCCCTCAGGGAGGGCGGCTTGGAGTCTGCACCCCGCACCATGGACAAAGGGAATTGCAGTGATCCCCTGGCTCTGAGAGACCATCTTCTGGCAGGAGGCCAAATTTGCAAGGAAGTTTTCCAGAGCAGCCAAATGATTAACACCAAACTGCAACTGTAAAATGTAATTAAAAAGAGCAGCCTACGTGCTGCTGGAGTAACAGCAGCGGGCGGGGAGGAACGTGGAATAAGAAAGATTGGTGAAGTGAAATAAAAGCAGCAGGTCTTGGAAGAAAAGGCAAAGTATTCACACAGGAATCATCTCAGAAAAGTTTCAGCTAAACCAAGGAGTTCCCTCCTACAAGAAAACACTATCCACATTTTCAATTTTCTATTAATCTTTTATGCACACCTAGAAATAAATAAAGAAACCCACAACAGCTTGCTCCCCACCTCCCCTTCACTCTCTGATTTGAAAACACCGCATTTGCCTCCTGCTTTTCCATTCCCTGCCCGACAAAACCCCTCCGGAGCTCTTTTCTTCCTACTCACATGTGGGGCTGCAGTTTGCTGCCAGCAGCCAGCGGAGACATTCGCAGCGCCACGAGGAGTGACAGTGCCACGGCAGGAAACTCCATGGCAGCCGCTCCTCTCCCTCCAGGTGCTTCCAGCGGTTATCCCGGCAATCCCGCAGCCTCCTCCCCACAGGCTCCTGCTGCCGAAGTGCCAGTGCCTGTCCTGGCAGAGGACAAAGCTACGGGAGCACAGGGGAGTCCTCGTCTCGCTCCTGGATGCTTCCTCCCCCTCGGGTTCCGCTCAGCGACTTTCTTCACTCCATTGGAAATTGCAGTGCAGGTTGCAGCTGGATTTTTCCCCAGTCCAAGCCCGGCTTCTCATGCTCGTTTGCTCGCAGTGAAATGCACTGAAGTGACTTTTCCTCCTGGGATTTGCTTCCTGGCAAAGCTGGCGGACCTGGGGGCTCACCAGACCTGGGTTGTGCCCAGCACAGCAGCCCCATGAGGGCTGAGCTGCTCCGGAGCTGCCATCCCCTTCCCCAGGCACTTCGAAATCCAGCCCTTGGCAAGGAGAAAGAGAAGGAGAGGAGGGGTGCTCTTCTGGCAGGAGAATCTCACCTCGCAGGGCTCTTCCCGAAGCAGGCAGGGTGATCCTTCACTCCATCCACAGAGGTGCAGGCATCCTCCTGCCGCAGCTCCGCGCCTTCCTCCCGCACACACACGCACCACAGCGGCTTCCCTGCGGATCAGGGGACTAACAAAACTTCCCCCCGCCTTTCCCAGGTCCGGCTCCTTTCCCTCACATGCTCTCTTGCCTCTTTCCTCGCTGTCAGTCAGAAATCCCTCCCACGAGCAGTGCCCAGCCCCGAGCAGAGGAGGGGGAGGATGGAGGGATGGAGCAGCGGTGCTTCGGGGCTGCTTCTCCACACGCAGCTCTTCTGCACTACCCAAGGCTGTGTGCGGACACACCAGCACAAATCCCTTTCCCAGAAGCTAGAAAAACATCCCGCGGAGATTCAATCTTCCCCGTACACTCCAACAGACAACAAAATTGATTGCTTCCCAAGGAAATTCTGCTGGCAGCAGCTGGCACAGCGGGATGGGGAGGAGGAGAGCAGGGATGCTGCACTAAACATCTCAAGCACCTGCCAGCAAACTCTCCCCAAGCATCCAGAGCAGCAGCTGGGCACCTCTGAGCTGCCCCAGAGCCCTCCAGAGCTCACTTGGCCTGGGGCAGGTGCTGATTTCCATCAGAGAAGCAGGAGAAGAAGGAGGAAGGCTGGGATAGTTTCATGGACATATTTTGTGGCTGAAGGACAACCATTAATCAAGACTAAAGTCCCCAAGGGCCATGCCCAAAAGCTGCTGGCCCTTGGTAAAAACTGAAGCAGCTGCTCCTTACAGCAGAACCCTCCCAAGGTCACAGCAGTGCCATAAATCCTCAAGTAAGAGAAAAGAGCAGGTGAGGGGGGTTAATGCTTCCACTTAGCAGTAAAATATCAGCCAAGCCTAACGGATGGGAAGAAAACATCATTCATTCTTCCTTGAGAAGAAAGGCAGCTACATAAAGATGTTTTATAACAACAGAGAGAGCTCCAGGATGCAATAAATCCAGGCCTCCCTTTTTCTATCTGGGATTAAAAAGTTAGAACTTTTTTACAGTAGGAAACAGGCTGCTCCCAGTTAAGACTTCCAGGGATTCCTCCCAGTGGGCAGAGCCTGGAGTCGGGCTCCCTCTCCAGGACACGGCCCGAGGCCAAGGATGGGGATTGATCGGTCCAGCCACAGCTGCCACGCTGCCCCAGGTGACAATCCTGGCTGTCACACAAGTGGGACACAATAGCAGGGTCCTGGCTGGCCTGGCGTGGTCACTCTCCCAGCCACAACCACCCCAGACAGGAAAAGCTGCACTTTGAGGAGTGACCCAGCACAAACTCAGCTCTGTAGTCCTTTTAAAGTCCCTTTAAGGCCAGCAGTGAGGTTTCCCACCTAAAAAAGCCCATGTGAGCAAAGGCTGTGGAGAGCAGGGGATTCATGGGACACATGTGAAAGACAGATATTTGAAACCCTACCCTGTCTGTGAAGTCAATTTAGTGTGTTTTCAATTTGATATCATTTCCCAGCACAGCCGCCCGCCGAGGATGTCATCCTCTGGCTCCATGTAAAACAGCCCTGAAAGTGGTCCAAGATTTGATACAGTTCCATAAATACTGACGATAATATCTGCAGTCATGCCAGAGACCACAGAAACTGAAACATTAACATGCCATTCATTCTCCAGCATTATTTAATCTTTGCTATCAAGCATGCTGGATGTGATATGGGCGCCAGGGCTCTCCATGCACAATCCTGTCCCTATCCCACCCTCCTCTGGTACCTTCCTGAGCTCTGTCCTGATGATATTTAAGGATCTTGCACATCTGACCCAGATCTGCCTCACAGCAGCTCTGCCTGGCCTCTCTAGACCCACACATCTTGTTCCTTTATGAGTGTATGAGTCTTGCCCAGACCACCTGGGCAGAGCAGAGCAGCATTTTGGCTGAGCTCAGGGCCTCCCACTGTACACTGTGTGATGTGTGTGGGTTCTTGTCTTAGCCCTGAAAATCCATAGCAGGGCTGAGACAGGCCCCATACACCTCTGGGTGTGCAACCATGGTGGCACCTGGGACCTCATAGAGCCCCAGGTGTGTGACAGTGATGGCATCTGGTACCTGAAACAGCTCTGGGCAGGGGATGGTGAAGTATCCATCACTTGGTACAGCCCCAGGTTTGTGATGGTGACAGTACTCAGTACCTTGTGCAGCCCCGGTGTGTGTGACAGTGACATCTGGTACCTAACCCAGCTCTGAGCAGGCAATAGTGACAGCACCCACCGCCTGGTACAGCCCTGCTGTGTGATGGTGATAGCACTGACACCTTGTACAACCCATGTTGTCCAGGCACCTGTTTGGATTTTAGGAGTTGTCATCCATATAAATGACACACTCAGGTGTTTTTCATCATTTCCCTTGTTCAACCCCTGAAAGATTAAGATCTTCACCCTGATAATTTCCACCATGCCAGAAGGATGGTGCCCAAGCTGCACAGTCCTGGAAACTGGGAGACTCCAGACTTTAATGGAGAAGACACACTCCCATGCCCATCCCAATGCCCATTTTCATTCCTGTCACACTCTTTCTTAACCATCAACTACTGACTGTGACTGAGAAACGAGACACCGAGGCCAGATTTATGATTTAATGGGTGTTAACAAGTCCAAGTGTTCTTTCATTCCTCCTTGAGAAGAAAGGCAGCTACATAAAGATGAGAAATGAGACACTGAGGTCAGATTTATGATTTAACTGGTGTTAACAAGTCCAAGTGTTCTTTCCTGGCTGAAACGTCACTCCCCCAGCTGACCGAAGGCGTGTACGATGCTCACAGCACTGACACAGCGAGCATCGTACAGTGGCGGTACCCGGTGCCTAATCATCTCTGCGCAAGGGATAACTCCAGCGCTTTGTAGAGCCGCGGGTGCGCGGTGGCCGGAGCGGTGTGTCCCGCATCCCGCACCCCGCATCCCATCGCTGCCGGGGCTGCAGTGCCGCCTCCCGGCGCGGCGCGGAGCGAGAGGCCCCGCGGCCGCCGCGCCCGCCCCGCTCCGCAGAGGAGCAGCTTT